TTTCAATACTGAACTGATTTGTGTCTAGCTAATGTGCTCAGGTGAGCGATGTGGCCAATGGGCCTCTTGTTATAATTTGTTTCATATTTTGTTAGATGTACAGGGAAAATTGTTTAGTCATCTGTTTTGAAGAAACTTGTCTAATCCGGATTTGTGCATTCCGAAAACCTGAGTTACTAAGCACTAACAACTACACAGTATTCACCTTTAGAAGAATGTTCTTGAGGTACTCCATATTTGCAGCCTCTTTTTCACGTTGCTGGTTCTGCTCCAGTCAACAGATTTCCTCCTTTAGAATCTTAGCTTCAATGCACCTTCAACCTCACCACTGTGGCCTCATTTTCATTGGACAACTACAAAAATATAAAAGGGGACTAAATTCTTAATCATGTATTTCTGCAGCTCAATCCACATCAGTGATTTTCAAGTAGGCCTATTGTACACACTTTTTCATGGTGAAATGTTTATTTCTACATATCAATAGATTGTGTGTTTTGAGCTTTGTAAAACTGACATCATATTAGACGTACATATCTGACTCACTAATTACTTCATTGAGATGCTCGATCCGTTTATGAGCCATGAACAAGTTCTCTCTCAGTGTCTCAACTTCTATCTTAGTCACTTCTTTAGGATACACTATAAATCATAAATTATAAACTATCAATAAATTATAAATTATAAGACTGTAACACTCAGGTAGGCTCTTGATTATTTCATCTGATTTTTTTTTTCTTTAGCATTTTTCAAAGAAAATGTACCAATTGTTTTTTCTGCAAGCAAGACACGTTAAAAGAGCCTAATTGTACTTAAAATGAATAGATGCATAATAAATATCTCATAAAACAGTCAAGTTAAATAAACATTTCATTTTTTTTAATTAAAAATTTAGGAAAGTTAAAAACATCATTTTAAGAACATTTTTATCTTTTTACGAATACAATTTTTAAGAAACATGACAATTATGGAAAGAAATATTTGACAATCAAATTAAAACAGGCCCATGGGCCACAATGCTCACCTGAGTCACTATAGCCCTTCTGTTCTTCATCAGCAGATTTTATTCCTACGTAAAATTGTGAATGCCTATTATGGCCCCACCCTACACCCATGATTGTTCATGATTTGAACAAATACATGAAAATGCATCCATACCTGTATGACTAATAATGCCTTTGCTTTCTTGAAATTTTTATAGATTTTTTCCCCTCTATATTCCTAAGCAAAACGTTGATTGCCTACTGTTGCCCACCCTACCTCCATGGTCATAATTTTAACAAACTTGAATTTACACTACCTGAGGATGCTTCCATATCAATATGACTAAACATGCCTATGCTGTTATTAAGAAGATTTTTAAATATTTTTCCTATATATATATATTCCTATTCAAAAGTTTGATTGCGCATTGTGGCCATGCCCCACCCTCAGGGGAACGAACTTGAATCTGTGTAATGAAGCTTTCACATAAGTGTCAACCTTCCTGGTCCAGTGGTTCATGAATAGATGTTTTAAAAGATTTTTTACTTTATATTCCTATGTAAAACTTTGAGCATTTATTGTGGCCCCACCCTAACCCCAGGGGTCATAATTTGAATAAACTTGAATCTACACCATTGAAGCTTTCATACAAGTTTCAACTTTTCTGGATCAACGATTCTTGAGAAAATGTTTGAAAGATGCCATAATTATTTTTCCCCATTCTTAATTATCTTACCTTGAAAGAGGATGTGATCAAAGTTTCATTGAAATGGGTTTGATGGTTCTATAAAAGAAAATGAAAATGTGAAGAGTTAAAAGACAGATGGACGGTGGACAAAGGACAATGGAAATAGGATTTTTCCCCTGAGAAATTGAATAGGTGTTGCCTTTCCTTGGGGAAATCCTCTCCAAAGATTCATTTTCCACAGGGGAAATCTTACTCTAAAGCCAGTTTTCCAATATATTAGATGGGAAAGCCTGCACTACCAGACTAGTACAAGGCTCTAAATTGTCAAATTCATGTGCATGCATTCTCAGTGTATTTTTTTACATTAAATGTGTATTTTACACATACATGTACCAAATTTAACATATTAATTAAGATAATTATGGAGAAAATAGAGAGGAAAACAGGAAATGTGTGGACAGATGGTGAAATGATTTAACGAGGCCGAGTCTAATTCCAGTGCGCATGACTTTGTGCAGCTTTTTATAAAAAAAAAAAAATAGTTTCATGCAGTCATTTCTGCAACATAACACCTATCCAAGTATTGTAATTGTAACACAAAATTAACATTATCTGTAACGTTTATGGGTCTTAAAATGTGCTTTTAAGACAATATTTAGGAATAAATCCTGAAATGGCTTTCACGACGTCACTATTTTCCGGTTCTGTAAGCAATGCATGACGCTGAAGAATGACGCTTGACTCGCTTGAGCATTCAAGACGTCCATGGAAATTCTATTAAAAACTGTTGACAGAACATCAAAAGAAAAATACCAGCAATCTAAACATTGTTATTTTTTACCAAAATAATTCATCCACGCCGGTATATACAAAATGTATGCCGCAATATGGCAAAATTTAATGGTATTGGGTATTGGGAAAAAATAAACTTTGTAATAATTCCTAGACCAAACCAGATGGTCAACTTTTTTGAAATTTCACTATTTCGTGACTTTTTACAATAATTTTCATGTATTTGACTGAAAATGAAATCCCTAGGGCAGAAATACAAAATTTATGGGGAAAATGTGATAATTTAGCACTTTTCCAACTAATTCCCATAGGGTCCAATAGTAAAATTTGACACTTTTAATATGACCCTCTTAGAAATCATGATGGTAAACATTTGATATTTTTATCTTAAAATGATTTAATAGAAAAAATTCATTAAAGAAAATTTATCAAAATATCTAGGGTAGAAATAATTAGACTCTGCCTCGTTAAGGAACCCAAAAATCCTGTAGAGCCCTGATTATTCTGTGTCAATTAAACCAAGTTCTACTCATATTTATGTATAAAAACAAAATAAACTTGCAGAAATACCAATTTATTATGTCATCACAATATTGCACTCTGAAAGACCAGTGTGGTTAATATAACAAGTAAATGCAAACAAGAACACAAATGAAATTCATGTTTCATTCTTTGAAACAAGAAATGCTTATAAAAAAGGGGGGAAATAAGTATGGTAAATAGAAAACGAAATGACTGTTAAACAAAACATTAGAAAAATTAGTGTATGGTCCACGACTTACCCTATTCAATACATACTGAACAACGGTTACCAAAATTTCAAATATGTTTAATTGGAGATTTTTTTTAAATGCATAACAAAGTTTTGAGGACAAGGACGACTTTTTTTGGTGGTATGAAGAAAATGTTTTCTTTTATATAAATGATATATAAATCATTTTATAAAAGAATTATAAATAAATTAATTTACTATGAAACTTAAATCCCCTTTAGAACTAAAGCACAAATACATTTAATCATTAAATTCATTTCTTCAGTGTTTTCCATGCACCACAACAATACAACAGTTAAGCTTGAAATTTTCAACTACCAGTACTTACAATCTTCTCTTTATCAATCTACCATCACTTCTCTATTGGACACAAATTTTCGAATAATCACAGATAGGAAAAAACATTTGTACCTCACATGATACATAAAGACAAAGTGAAACAAATACCTTGTACATGTTTCTACACCATGTGAAAAATATATCAAAAAAAAAATAGATTACATGGGGAATTCACCTCTGAATAATTCCTGGTTTGTACATGTAAATCTGCTATAATTTACCTTGTCACTTTTATCACTGAGTGCTTATCACAGACTTTTTTTTTCCCCCAACATACACATAGTATGTGACCATATACTGGTACTCTAAATGTATAACTATTGTCAGTTAATGTACAACAGGCAACAGAAGACTTGTTGATCATATAAAAATACAATAGATATGAACTTATCATTTCATGAATTAAATTTCAAGAGATTTATGACGATTAAAATGCTAGAAAAAAGTTCTAATTGCCCAAATTACATACTTTTCAAACTAAAATGCTAAAGCTTCTTCCTAAGTTATATTAGATAACTTTAATATTTAAGAATATTCTTGGGTATCAAACCTAAATTTCTTAGTGATTTTTTTTAATCAAAACTCATGCATGAAATTACCTACAAAGAAATTTGCCACTTAAAAATCCAATGTATTTGTTAAGCTATTCGTACAAATTACATAAACTTCTTTCTAATACTAAATTCACCGAAATCTTAATACTGGACTCATTCAACAAATACTTGTCGGTAATCATAAATTCTGGTCTCAGATTTCATAAAAATGATAAAGTGAATAAAATAATATTTATAGCAATTACAAATCTTTTAGCTTTAAACACTGCACACTAAAGAGTTCTAATTGTAGGGTGGTTTTATACAGTTAGAGTGATCTGCCCTTATAAGTAAGATAAAAAAAAATGGTTATTCATAGTTAATTACACAATTTGTAATAGATTAAAATATTCGTAACATTATATTAGACCAAGAAAAAGTAATTGAATTCATTATTTCCATTAATTTTCCCAATGTTGGTAAACAACAGTGATTTCTGTTCACGCATAGACCATTGTCTTTGAACATTTTTCTTGCAGAAATAAGGCAGGTACCCTATGTTGAAAATGAATTAAAGAGTCTCAATATGCACATGTTAATATGATATATTTTTCTCCAAGTCCAAAACGCACTTTTTGTTAGTGTTAAGAGCTTCCTTAATACAAATAAAAATAAATAATACAGTACTGATATTTTACTTTCCAACACAAAGTCTACACCACTTTAATGCCAAGAGTATATTTAACAGTTATAGCAGTAGTCAATTTCTATATTATAAAATTAAAAATTATAACAAAATTGCAAAAACTTGTCACCATGAATGCATTTAATGGCGAAATTTTATTGTTGCATCAATTTTTTTCTAAACATCATTCTACCATACATGAATAAACAGCACTTTTCTTGAAATGAATTGGAATTTTCTTTTTCATGAAACTTCTAAAGAGAAAGGTACTCTCCTTGGTAGTTCGGAATGTACACTGAAGCTAGCACTGGTGTCAAACATGGCATACGACATTCTTCATTTGAAGAGTCATGACTCCAGTTATCACAGGACTAAAGTTGAGTGTAAACAGTGGACACACACAAACATACAGACAATCAGGCAGGTCCTCATTGTGTTGCCATTCAACATTTCTCCCAGGCGTGTCAACATTGTCACACTGTTCTCAGAAAATGAACTGTCAAGCTCTTCACAATCTCTTCACTCAAAAAAACAAGTCTTTATTCTTCATTCCAGGATTTGTTTAAAGTTTCTTCACATTAGAGTGACTTTCAGTCATTTTGTTTGTGTAGGAATGTTGCCGTGGCTTCTCACACTAACCCTGACCAGCGGTGAAGATAAGACCCCCATCCACCCCCTTGCTGCTGTTGTTGTGGATTAGCTGCATTGTCTTCTCCTATAATATATTTAAACATAAATGAGGTTTTTTAAAGAGTCATATCCTGTTTGTTGAATATTATTTTTAAAATACATAATAATAATTTCTGAACTTGCACATAAAAAAAAAAACAATCAAAAGTTATGGGCAAGGTTAAAGTTTTTGTGGACAGACTGACAGCTAGACAGACGGACAGTGCAAAAACTATATCCCCGAATCTTCGATTACCGGCGCATAAAAGCCCTGCAATATTTAATGAATCCTTAATAAACACAATATTTCTTGCCCTCTAATTATCATTCAAGCCAAAAGTGGCTTAATTTCCGATGTGTGCAGCCAAATTTAAAATCGCAATATTTCTCTATACACTTTTATTTAAAAAATTATGGTCAATGATTTAAGTTATTGACACACAGAACAAACACTTTGTCTATCAATATACAAACATTTGACAGTTCTTAGATTTATAGTCTCCCTTACCCTGAGCAGCTGTATCCAGAGTTGCCTTTTCCTCAGGGCTGAGTTTTAACATTGTAGTCAGAACAGGAACCAGCTGCTGTCTCTCGTCTCCGACCTTCAAACTCAGGAACTACAAAATGTCAAGGTCACAATTCATTCATAAATAAATATGAGGAATGTTCTTCAAGGGTATGGTGCCAGGGCTTGAGCTGTGATTCGCCATTTGCGCCAATTGCTAATTTTTTCCAAAAGTGGCGAAAAGAAATTCAAAAGTGGCGAAAATGAACTTTTTTTTTTAGATATACCATACAAAAGTGTGTGTACTCCTAGCTATCTCCTTTGTTTATTCAATGTATACAGATTAGCCCCTTTGTTTATTTAATGCAAGCAGACGTGTGAATTCAGGGTGTTAAAACTCCATGAAACTAACAAAGCAATGTACATGTAGGAAATCACGTCTCGCTTGAACGCACACAGCTGATTTAGTAGGTAACTTTAGCCTGGAGCAGTAAGGGGATACAAAATTACTTGAAATAATATAAGATGGATTAAACAAGGAAAGACGAATTGTTTTTGGGAGATGAAATTAGTTAATAAAAGATTTTAATCAATAAAATCTGGATCTATATAGATTTTTTTTTTTAAACCGAAAGTAGGAAAACATGACGAAAATTGCAGAGCATGGCTGCTAATTTTACCTGATTAAAGTCAAAATAGTGTGTTCATTATACCATAAACTGACAAAGAGTGAAAGAGATACTGGCTTGGAAACAAAACAATACTTTTGTCAATTACACTGAATTATTTTCAGTTATATGAATTAATTTACATGCATATACACCCAGTGTCCAAGTTGTTGAATTAAGCCAAGTTTTAAACCTGATTTTAATTACTTCTTTTCACAATAAATTGTTGATATGATTAAAATTTTCGCCTATTATATTATTTTTTCATTTTTAAAAAAAATGTCATATATCTTTACTAAGTCTGTAACCCCCCTCCCCAGGCTAAAAAGTTATGAACAAGAGGACATCTACTGTCAAGAGTTGGCTAATATCAGTATCAAATTAATTGTATAAATGTAGAAATAGTTCCTATATCAGTTCTGTAAGTGGATACAACTTTAAATTTTACAATTTTAAAACAATGCCTGTGATATAAACAAATTGAAATAGTGCTATTAGTGGAGTGTTTAACACTGTACACTTGTCGAGACGAGATGTAAAAATGTGATTCCTTTCATTGCGAAAAGTGGCGAAAAATATTTTCGCTCCAGTGGGAGCTCTGTATGGTGCAAAAATTTAAATAGCCCTTTACTGAAATCAAAATTAATTTCAAATTGATCACATGTATATTAATAATTCAATTACATGTACTACATGTATATACACATGCACCATATCAGTTTTCCTCACTTATAGTTATGCCATGTCATTCAATCAAACTGTGTAATAATTCATCAAGTACATTTATATATGATTAATATTCTTTAACATCATCAAATCACTATTGAAAACCTGAGTAACTAAGCACTAACAACTACACAGTATTTACCTTTAGAAGAATATTCTTGAGGTACTCCATATTTGCAGCCTCTTTTTCACGTTGCTGGTTCCGCTCCAGTCGACGGATTTCCTCCTTTAGAATCTTAGCTTGTTCCTCCAACCTCATCACTGTGGCCTCATTTTCATTGGACAACTACAGAAAGATATAAAGGTGGACTTTTAAAATTTTTCAACGTACATGTACTTTCACCTCAATCCACATTAAGTAAATAAATACAGTCAAACCTTGTTATCTTGAACTTGATGGAACCAAGAAAAAACTTCGAGATATCCGAGGATTTGAGATATCGAGGGTAAAATACTTAAAAGATAAGTAGATGGGACTTCCAAATCACTTTGACATATCCATGGTATTCGAGACATCAGTGTTCGAGATACCGAAGTTCAAATGTAGTTTGAGATACCGAAGTTCAACTATAGTTCATTCATTAATCTTTTAAGTGATATATATGTACATCTATGTCACACTCAGTTCTATTATGAAATTGATACAACCTGTACATGTATCTCTATGTATCAAAAGATAGTAAAAATTGGCATAAAACTTTTGAATTTCTTTATTTTACTGCAATTAAGCCAATTAACTATAAACTTTAGTTAACTTTTAAAATGCAATGTATATTCTCTACCAAGTTCTACTGAACATAAGCAAGAGAATGCTTCACCATCTTAACAGAGATAAAAGAATATTTTTGAGCTGTTAGTTGATACATGTACCAGTACATCCTTAAATTATTTGATGAGTTCCTGCATGCCTCTGCTCATCTTGATAAGATGCTAGTTTACTTTCTGAATCAGTGGCTAAGCTGCTTACCTCGGCGAGATACTTGTATTATATGTATATATTTCTGACTAACTGCTTACCTCGTTGAGATGCTCGATCCGTTTATGAGCTGTGGACAGGTTCTCTCTCAGTGTCTCAACTTCTATCTCAGTCACTTCTTTAGGATACACTATAAATCATAAATCACCAAGATGTATCTCAATCAGCAGTTAGCATCACTCACATCAGCTTCTTTACCATTTACACGATAGCTTTCTTATACAAGTACATGTACATAAAATAGGTTAAATGCTCAAGAAAATTAGTATGTTCCACTAAATTGTACAAAACAAAATATGTTGAATAATACTGACCAAATCAAATTTACACAAATTTCACAAACAAATTGACTGTTTAAAAATTAAAACATGTTAAATCAGCGGAGTTCAGAACAAGGCCTAGAAAAGACTATCTATCTACTAAGAATACATTGAATTCTAAGGGATCAGAAATGATGCAACAAGATCCCTATACCATACATAAGTATTAGCTATGATCATGATTCACCACAGTCCATTTCAACAACAATTTTGTATACCTGTGTCCTCGGGGCCTGTTGATAAAAGCCTGTCTAGTGGTAACGGGGATGGTTTACTTGTGCCCTGTGAAAAGGAAAATGTAGACTTCAACATATATAACTTTATAAATTATATTTCTTTACTATACACAGTATACATACTGTCTTGTCTGCTCATTACTGATTTTATTTTCCACTTAATCATTTCACCTTGAAATTCATGTTCATTGAAAATGCTCCATATTAACAAATTAAATGTACAAAATGCCACTTTTTAAGTACTCTATACTGTATATGTAAGATAAAAAAAAAGAAGAACAATGTACCTTTGAGCAGGGTTCTGGATCAACTATTTCGGATCCCTACAATGGTACCAAACAAAGTCGAAATGAAATTAGATCACAAACATCAATATACTGGTATATTTGAGCAGTCTCAGAGACACTCAAGATTACATTCTAAAATTCTTAAAAATATCACACCTTATAACTATATTCTAAAAGATTACACCTGTCTTCATCTCATTCTCCATATAATCAATAAAATCTATTAATAAATTAATGATTAACCTACTCATCTGATTAATTACTGTCTTAGTTACCTCCCCTTCCTGTCGTTCTTCATGCCTGATGTCATGCACTATAAACTCATTCCCTGAAGACACAGGACTCTGTCTCTCTGTGGCCATGACTGACCGCACACTGGTGACCTTTGACATCTGCTGCTGAAGCTCCCTCTGTAGGCGAGTGTTTTCACGCTCCAGTGAGTCTATCTGCATCTGTAACATATTGATAGCACGGCTCTGGTCCTCCTGTAAAGACTGTATCTGATCCTACAGTACAAAAAAAAAAATCAAGATCAAAATTGTTAAAACTTCATACCTACAAGTATAATGTGGCATACAGAAAAAAAAGAAATCTTTAAGTAAACAATGCTTACGGCAAAGTGCCATGGACTAAAAATTTTAATTACATGTACAGCTGTTCATTTTACCCAATTAAGTTCATAATGCACTTTAAATCTACAGGGAATGAAAATCACTTCCTAGTAAGCATGAATTTATAATAAGTATTTTTACTTTATTTACAAATGTATTTTTTTTTTTAACTCGGTTAAGTTCTCAGACAGACCTTGAATGAGAGAGTGATTGTATCATTCTGTAGATTGAGCTGTTTAATGGTTTCCTTCTGTTCCTTGACTAGTAGATCCTTCTCATGGGTCAAGTCCTCCAATCTACAAACACAGTATTTTATATAAGATTATTTTCATAATTTTCATTGACTGATAGGATGTCTAGTGAATTTTATTCATTTGTGATATTGAAAATTTTTACGATATACATGCAAGTACAGGTGGCATATGAGTAAATTTCTGTGGGGATATGTAAACATTAAATATGAGAAGTCTGCTGACCTTCTCTTGTCGATATTGTCCTCTAAGTCTGCCACTTGCTTGTTACATAATAACCCATTAAGTTGGAAGGGGGGAGGTAACCATTAATTGCAAGAATTGTATTGACCTCCTCCTGTATGTTAGCCACTAGCTTGTTATAGTGACCCATTAAGTAGGGGCATGTAACCATTACTTATGAGAATTGTATTGACCTTCTTCTGTTGGTATTGTCTTTCCCCTGTATGTCGGCTACTAACTTGTTAAAACGACCCATTAAGTGTGGGTGGGATGGGGGGGGGGGGTTAACCATTTATTATCAGAAGTGTACTGACCTCCTTCTGTTGGTATTGTCTTTCTCCTGTATGTCGGCCCATAACTTGTTATAGCGACCCATTAAGTGTTGGGGGGGGGGGGGGGGCTGTTTAACCATTACTTATAAGAATTGTACTGACCTCCTTCTGTTGGTATTGTCTTTCTCCTGTATGTCGGCCCATAACTTGTTATAGCGACCCATTAAGTGTTGGGGGGGGGGGGGGCTGTTTAACCATTACTTATAAGAATTGTACTGACCTCTTTCTGTTGGTATTGTCTTTCTCCTGTATGTTGGTCACTTACTTATTATAATGACCCATTAAGTGGGGGGGGGGGGATGTAACCATTACTTATGAGAATTGTACTGACCTTCTTCTGTTGGTACTGTCTTTCTCCTGTATGTCAGCCATTAACTTGTTATAACAACCCATTAAGTGTGGGTGAGATGGGGGGGGGAGATTAACCATTACTTATGAGAATTGTACTGACCTCCTCCTGTTGGTATTGTCTTTCTCCTGTATGTCGGCCACTAACTTGTTATAGCGACCCATTAAGTGGGCGTTCTCCTCTTGTTGTATCTCCATGTCAGACTCCGCTGTCCTCAGTTTTTCACTGAAAACATTAACTATACTAAAATGGTTTCAGTAAAAAATAAATTAACATACATCTTCTTGAATTGAAAAAAGAGAGAAATCTAGTGTGTCTTCTAAATCCAACAGAATGGCCAAGTATTGTACCAACTATCTTAGCAATCTGGGGCAAAAAGTTAGCTACAATCCTGAACAACAGTTTTCATATGTCTGCAGAATGTCAAAAATTTAGACACTACATTTTTTGCAGAAGAGCAATAAGACTTTAGCTAAGATTCATACATTATTTCAGAATTCAGTTGTAAATTGTCTAAAATAAAGTGATCTCTCAATAAATTTTAAAATAAATACTTGTACTCAAATCTTTTCTATGAATATAGGCCTGAGTATTAGATTTTCAGTTTTATCACCTAAGTCTCTGATCTGATTATTTTACCTTAGATCCTGGATCTTTGACTTCAGCTGTTCTAGAGCCTTTTCTAGTCTCTCTCTAAATAAAATAAAATAATACATGTACTGTGCCAGTTCTGACAGCAATATTATAATCACGATGTTTTTAACTTTTAACTGTATCACTTGAATACATTTTTTTTTTTATAAATTGTATTTTGATATGCCCCCCGATTGCTGTCAGACGATGTGCATTGTCAAACACAAGTTATTTTCTTTGCTATTTAAGACTTTAATGCTGATATGATGTTGAACTAATTGTTATCTATAGTTTCCTATATTGTTTACGAGATCGCATAATTAAAACGGTGTTTATTTACTTTTATTCGGTAAATATTGTTACCTGGTATGTTTTCACTGCATGGTTGTTATTCCGGAAGTGCGATTTCCCCTAATGTTTTATTTTTAAGATGTGAAAAGTTGTAAGCGGCGATTAATTTAATTAATTGTATGTCAATATTTTATAATCATTTTGAAATTTACTTTGTTCATAAAGTAGTTATAATATTTTACTTGTTTCTATTTTCTGGTGAAACATGTGCACACTTTTTCGTTGCCGTGGGAATTGGGGTATCGCGTATCGCCTGTGATTGGTTGATGATCAGGTGCACGATGTTTCTGATTGGTGAACGTATTTTACGTCATTTCATAGTATTTAATGACGTATCTATAGCAAGAACGTGGAGTTGCAGCGTTTGAACAGTAGGCTACACCACTGTATCAAGGTGTGCGTTTAATTTAGTTCTTTAGGTTAATAGTTTGATAATATTAAGTGGTGTGGGGGAAAACTTTATTCAGAGATTGAATAATATTTATTTACAAGTATATTACTGGTTTAGATTTTCAAGTTTACTGGTTTATTACCAGTTTGGGATTATACTTAGGATTTTTATTAGGTCTAAGACAGTTAGACTTGCACGTGAATTATTATTACTGGATAAGACTCCAGTTATAGAGGTTTTTATTAATTTATGAAACACAAGAGATTTTGTGAATATTTAACAGTATTGTTTTGCATCTGTGTCCTGTGAAATAAATTTATAAACTTTCAATAGAGTTCTTGACTTGTTGAAAACAGTCCAGTTAGCGCATCCGCACGTTACATGTACTTTTCTTTCAATAAAACAAATATAGTCTGAGACATAGCCTTCATAACTGGGTTAAATACAAGCACTCGTTACTCTCTCTCTCAAAGTAAGAACAGTGCAAAATAATGTTGGACACTTTCATTGTTGTACTACTACCATGTATAGCCCCCTCCAACTTTCTTGTAAGAAGAATGATTTGGATGGAATGGCATTAAACATCCTGACATACAAGACTCTTACCTTTCCATTTTCTCACTTTCACTGACAGCTGATTCCTGGCTTCCTTTCTTCTGCTGTTTCAAAACACTGTGTACTCTCACCTGAAATGGGATAATGGGAACCCTTAAATTCTGTACTATCAAATTCTTTTTACGTAGAAAATCATTATTACCAGTAATTTACTTGTATATTGCATGTGTCACTGAAATGATAGTTCACCCATGTTTGAGATAACAAGGTTTGATTGTATATCTTAAAACCTTCCAATTCAAAGACAAATCTTTAACACAACCAACAGTGAGTTAGGATTAGAAGCTAAGATTCTCTTCTATTTTCTACCTTGTAGCCATCATACTCTGCCTGGACAGCCTTCATCTCACTCCTGGTGACCTCCAAGTCATCCTGAAGTGACTGGATCCGCCCCTCAAGAGACCGGATTGTCCTCTGGTTGGAATCAGTCAGGGATCGAAGCTTCTCCTGTAATTTCTGCTTCTCTGCAGCAAGTTCTCCCATCTGTATCTATGAAAAGGATCACAAAATTTATGTAAAATAAATCATTTCGTCATATTGGGGTCTGTGGAAGAATTTTTTCCCATACATGAAGTCAATTTCTAGTCTTCATCAATTTGAAAATAAATTGCAATGTTTTTATCCTTCACATATACTATCAATATTTTATCTGCATTTTTTTTTCAAATGAACATGTCCATTATACACTTTACAATAAAGTTTCCCTGTATGTTTATCCCCTAATTTGCCTAGACATAACATTCATGTAAATGAATACTCATGACCTACATTTTGAGGTACCCTATAGTGGCCTCTGACCTAGTTTTCTTACCTTGCTTTCCTCCACTTGTTGATTCAGCCCTTCCAGCTGACCTCTCAACTGGGCATCAGATGACCTCTGCTCTGTTTCCTATTAAAATAAAACAGTGTGTCTACTCTTGTGCATGTCTTTAAGGTTGTTTTGGTCTGACACAACTCTAAGTGATAATTAAATCTAATGAAGATAAAAATTTTGCAACTTCAATACATTCACAAACTGAGAAAAGAATTGAGCAGCTACACATATTAAATAAATTAGCATATGTAATTTTTTTTCAGTTTAACTTAAATTTTTGTTATTTGTTTAATAAGGTATTTTTACCATTTTCTTGGCATCTGACAACTCTTTCTTGGTTTTGACTAACATCTGTTTTAGTTTGTTTGCTCTGTCATCTGCCTGAATTCTCTGTTCCTCTACAGCATCTATAATGTGAGAAATAATTACATGTACCTAACATAAATCTGTGATTGTTCATTTACATTTACAAAAAATAGGAATTGACTTAATTTGATATTCAGTAACTGCTCAATGCTGCATGTTTTTGTGTCAACAGTCAGACACATTTATTTCAGAATTTTGCTAGTGTATACCTATCTGTTCTTTGTTACAGTGTATTAGTACATTAGTACATACCTATCTGTTCTTGGTACAGTACATTAGTACATACCTATCTTTTCTTTGTTATAGTACATTAGTACATACCTATCTGTTCTTTGTTACAGTGTATTAGTACATTAGTACATATCTATCTGTTCTTTGTTACAGTGTATTAATACATAAGTACATACCTATCTGATCTTTGTTACAGTACATTAGTACATACCTATCTGTTCTTTGTTACAGTGTATTAGTACATACCTATCTGTTCTTTGAGGGCCTTAGTTTTCTCCTCTAGTCTCTCCACGTCCCCCCTCAGTTCCGTGATTGTCACGTCCCTGTCTGAGATCGTCTTGTTGAGAGCCTGGACTGTTCTCTCGTAGTCTGCGATCTCCAAGTCCATCATATTACTCTGTTTGGCCTCCTATAAATTGGCAAAAATACACAGTTAATTTTGGTCACCAAGGAAATACAGTGTGCCCGAAAATTTCTTCTTTAGATTTAAAAGTCTCTTAATTAATTTACACGTAAATTAAAAGTCAATACCTGTATGAAACATGTAAAATAATTTCATTTGCTCTCTCTCTCTCTCACCTGTTTATCCTGCTCTAACTGTCTCTTAATCTCTTTCTCTTTCTCTCTCTCACCTGATTAGCCTGCTCTTACTGTCTCTGAATCTCTCTCTCTCTCTCTCACCTGTTTAGCCTGCTCTAACTGTCTCTGAATCTCTCTCTCTCTCTCTCTCACCTGTTTAGCCTGCTCTTACTGTCTCTGAATCTCTCTCTCTCTCACCTGTTTATCTTCTCTAACTGTCTCTGAATCTCTTTCTCTTTCTCTCTCTCAGCTGTTTAGCCTGCTCTGTCTCTGAATCTCTCTCTCTCTCTCACCTGTTTAGCCTGCTCTGTCTCTGAATCTCTCTCTCTCTCTCTCACCTGTTTAGCCTGCTCTGTCTCTGAATCTCTCTCTCTCTCTCTCTCTCTCTCTCTCTCAGCTGTTTAGCCTGCTCTGTCTCTGAATCTCTCTCTCTCTCCTCTCTCTCTCACCTGTTTAGCCTGCTCTAACTGTCTTTGAATTTCCTGGACTTGACTCTGTAGTCCTGTCACCACACTCTTGTGTTTCTCTCCTTCTTTCTTCATTCTGTCTTCTGAGTCTTGTAACTTTCCTTGTACCTTTAAGAGAAAAGAGGCGCAATAACAACCCAAACTCCAGCTTTTATCACTTAAAAAACCAATAAAAATGAATAGAGAAAAGTCAATGAAAGTACAAGGGAAATTTTCATACAGCATACTTTTTCCTTACTCTCCTATCTTAATTAAGATCAAAATGCAATAAAAATAAAGAATGTCATTAAATTCATAAAATGCCTAACTCAGGGACTTAAAAAAGTTACAAGTCAAACCTGTTGTTTTTCCTTCACGACTTCATCTTTCTGAATTCTGTAAGCCTCCCTTTCCTTTTCAGCAGATGCCAATTTTCCTTTCAGATCAGATATAGCTCCCTCTTGTTTCTGTAAAACATGCAGCAGACATTGAAATCTTTGACAAAGAAAAATTTGGAAACAGTTACAGCTGCTGACACTCTTTACACAGAAATCCAGAAATGTCCTCTTAAACCATGTATCAAATTCTTTTTTTTCTCTACAGGTCTAGGGCATAGCAATATAAGCTACTATGTGGATAACATTTATGTTTGTAATGATCCTGACCTTTGAGTTTATGATAATCAGTAAATGACCTTGACCTTTGACTTGATTTTACCTTGACCTCTCCTTTCAATCTGTCTGCTTCCTTTATGAGTTGTTCTTTTTCCTCTTTACTTGTGGCCATTGTCTCCTTGACCTGAGCCAACTCAGAGATGACCTTCTCAAGGTCAGACTTGTAGCTGTCTGATTCCTTTGTCTTTGAGTCAAACTCCAACTCCAGTTTATCATACTTCTCTTGTAAAAGCTGTATTTAAAGAATCCATAATTAGTCACTGGTAAGGATGAGCTGTGTAACAACAGAGCCAGTTAAGATATATGGTTAATCCTTTTCTTTAATTTAAGGATGTTTACTCAGACGGCAAAAAAATTCCACTAATGGGAATGAAAAAACACAATTTGTACATTGTGGACCTATGATTGTAGTGTAATCTTATATGCTGTAATGACAGTTTCTGGCAAAAATACTTGTACTCATAATACATGTACACAAGTCTCAGCCTTAAGCCTATGGAATCCCTTATGCCAAATTCAGCTAACATGTACTGTGAATCATTAGATGTTTTGGTGGTTCAATATTCATGGACTTCGTGGGTACCCTTCATCCACGAATTTACAACCTCCACAAATTAATATACAAGGGTTCAAAGTAATATTTCCTTTTGTAAATACTTATGATCAAATACACGAAATTCATCCCCACAAACCAGTAAAATTTAAGCAATCCTCTAAAATTGGCCCCTACGAATTTTGATGATTCCACAGTATTTGTTTGAGACTTACATGTAGCATTAATGTTCACATTATTAATAAACTCTGGAAAACTCTGAGGGTTCCCCGAATGTGTCACTTTACAATGTGATAAATTCTCACCTGGAAACTCTTCATGAGTTCCGATTCTGACTTCTGGGAGATTTCAAGAGCAGACAACTGCTGCTGAAGTTCTTCACATTTCTTCACAGAGTCGTCTCTTTCTTTCTGTAGCTCATCATTCTGTTGAAGGAGGAAGGAAGAGAAAAAAATTAAAGTGTTGTAGCAGCTTGGCCATAATTTAAACAAGATACATCACTTTCTACTACATGTACCGGGTATATGATAAACACCACTATTCAATCTACTTTTAATCATATCCCCAATTTTAAACTGATTCAATACTTAAGTATACATATAAATCAACAATTTAGCTGAACTTGACCTACCTTGGATTTGAGCTGTCCTGCCTCTTTCTTGCTTTTCATGGCCAGAGATTTCAGTTTATTGTACATTTCCTCCTTCTCTTTCAGTTTCTGCTGCAAACCTTTGTTCTCCTCATTAGAACTCTGTACAACATGAAGAAAGTTTAAGAATTTTTGTAGCTTTAAAACTAATGCAAGAATTATATTTTATCATTTTCCCATAATTCAAAATGCAATACTATTTTATAAGTTTTGTACAAATTACTTTCAGTGGATTTTAAAATTTTGCTGAAAGGAAATCCCTACCTCTGATCTCTGCTGAGTCTCACTTTCTTTTCCTCTCAGGTCTTGGATTTGTATGTTTAGATCACTGTTAACACTCTGCAATTCTGCAACCTTCTCACCAAGGGCAGACAACTCATTCCTCAATTGTGCCTCCACTTCCTGCATTTCTTTGTTAGCCACATTCATTGAAGCCAAGTCTTTTTTAGCCTGTTCTAATTCTGATGTTAACTCCCCCATTATTCTACCTTTTTCGTCCACAGAGGTTTTTAAGCTTTCATTGTCATTTTGAAGTTCTTTATATTTTGCTTCCATTTTAATCTTGTCTTTTTCTAAATTCTGAATTACTTCGATTTTGCTCTGGATGTCTTTTAACATTGAACTCTCCTCTGTATTTCTCCCTGATATCTGAGCCCTTAACTCATTTAAAGACTCATCCAATACAGACTTTTGTGTGGAGATTTCATCCAGCTCAGTTTTTAATTTCTGATTTTCTTCTTCTAATGACCTCTTAACCTCCTCTGTTTCACTCAACTGAGTTTGTATCTCTTGGAATTTCATCACACTTTCTTCAAGTTCTGTTTTTAGTTTTTGAATCTCAGTTTCCAAGACATTTTTTTCAGATTCTTTCACTGAACACAGATTTTGAACTTCCTCATCCTTTTGACAAAGAGTGCCCTCTAGTTTTTCTTTTTCACATTTAAGTTCTTCCACCTGTGAGGCCAGCGTGTTTCTCTCATTCTTAACACCATTACTTCCTTCTGAAATAGTCTTCATTTCTTCTCTCAGATTCTCATTTTCAGCCTTTGATTTCCCAAAATCCTCTTTCAAGATTTTCACTTCCTCTAGAAGTTGATCATTCTGACCTTTGACCTCTTCATACTGATCTCTTAGTTCTTTCAGTCCATCTTTCTCTGACTCCAGAACTTGTAAACAATTCTGTAAGTTCTCTATTTCCTTCATTCTATTATTTCTGTCTTCTTCAATGTTCTTTAATGAAGTCTTCAGACTTTCAACTTCCTGCTGATTCTCTGATTTTTCTGAGTCACTTGTCTGAAGAATCCCCTGTAATTTCTCCACTGCCTCTATTTGTTCATTCCTCTCTGACTCTGTCTTTTGCAGATGAATCTTTAAATCTTCTATTTCTTTCATTTTCCCCTCCAAATCTTTCTGCAGTTCCTCTTTTTGTTCTGATAGACTAGAAAGTTCTTTATTCAAGTTTTCAACCTTTGAAGATGTTTCTGTCAATGAAGTCTGAAGTGTTGAATTCTGTACCTCTTTCTCCTCTAACCTGGAATTCAACTCACTTTTTTCACTCTCTAAGCACTTCACTTTTTCTTCAACATCTGCCAATTCTCTCTGAGCATCAGATAGCTCTTTCTTCCTGTTTTCAATCTCATTATTAAGTTTCTGAACCAGTTCACTTTCTACAGATTCCTTCTCTTGTGACAACTTTTCAGCATTTTGTGTAAACAACTCTAATTCACTTTTTAGATTTTCAATTAACAGTTCTTTTTCTTTGACACTGTTTGAATACTGATCCACTAATGAAACTTGTTCATCCTTTTCTTTATTAAGTTGACTGATTGTTTCCAAGAACTGTGTTTTTTCCGTTTCCATAGCATCCAAATTTGCTTTCAAATTTTCACATTTTTCCAAAATGTCATCTTTTTCTGATTGTATTTTACTAAAATTCTCGACCTGAGTTAATAACTCAGATTTTTCTTTCTCACAAAGTTCGAAAGATTCTTTCACTCTTTGTAACTCCTCGGATTTATCCAGGAATTTTTTCTCCATCTCTGCCCTTTGACCCTGCACATCCTCCACTTCCTGTTTCCTCCTTTCCCCTTCCTTTTCAAGCTCCTCAATCCTTGTCTTCAGATTCTCAATTTCTGACTGCAGCATGGATGTGGCAGATTCTTCTTCCACCTCCATTTTTGCTATAAACTGCTCATGTTTCTTGCGTGCCTCTGCGAGGTTGTTGGACATTTCCAAAATCTGGTTCTCCAGTTCCTCAGTGTATGCCTGCCTCTCTTTCACCTTTTCTTCCATTTCTTTATAGCTTTCCTTGGAATCCTCTGCTGCTTTGATCAGCTCCTGCTTCTCTCCCTCCACCTTACTGATCTCTTGCTGAACCTCCTGGATTCTTCCTCTGAGTTCTGCCTTCTCCTCCTCATTCTGATCAATGACTCCCTTTAGATTGGTGTTTTCTTCAGTGAGATCTTTCTCCTTCTCCTGAGCCAATTTCATAATGACAGACAGAGACTCTTTCTCCCTCTCAGCTGATTCTTTCTCACACACCAATGTAGCTAATTCCCTCTTCACTGCCTGGATTTCTACCGTACTGTCTCCCTTACTTGCATAGGCACTATCTAAATCTACTTTCAACTGACTATTCTGAGAGACAATTTCATTCAGTTTCACTTTCAATTTCTCTATTTCAGTGATCACAATCCCTGGGCCCTCATCAGCTTCAAATACATCATCACCATCATCAGTCACTTCTTCCTCTTCATCTTCTTCCCTCTCCTTCTTCTCCACCCTCTTCCCCATTCCCAATATCTCCCTCACAACATCCAGCTCTCCCAGAATTCTCTTCTCCTTGGCTTCTGCTGCATCGAGTTCCTGCAGCATCCTGTTCTTATCCTCCTGTAACATGTTCATCATGTGCTCCCACTCTCCCATCTGTTCATTCATCTGTTGAACATCATTTCTCAGCATCTCCTTTTCTTCTTGCAGTTCACTGACCTCGTATGACAGACTTTCATCTCTTGTAAGCACCTTCTTCATTTCCTGTTCTAACTGCTCTTTTTCCCTTGTGACTACTTGCAACTTCTTTCTTATGTCTGTAGTTTTTGGAATGGCTCCATTACCCTTTAGACCAGATTTTCCACTTTTCTTTGTTTCTTGGGCTTTTTGTTTAGGTTTTTCAGCAGCAGCCTCTTTTTGAGATTCTTCCTCCTTCTCATGCATGAGTTCATGAAGTTGGAACTGTAAATTATCAATCTCACTTTGCAGATCTTCTTTAAACCTCTGCTCACTCACATACAGCTCCTGTGACTTTTTAAGTTCCTCAGTGACAGAATTCAAGTCAGATTTTAACTTTTCCACCTCTGATGAAGACTGCTCCTGTGACTTTGTAAGTTCCTCAGTAACAAAATTCAAGTCAGATTTTAACTTCTCAACTTCTGATGAAGACTGATTCAGCTGTTCCTCCTTCTTCATTATCTCAGACTTAAATTTCTCCACCTCCAAAGTCTGTTCATTAAGCTTTGATTCCAAGTCCTGCTTTTCCTCTTTCAATTGCTGACACAGTTTCTCCAGCTGTTCCACTTTCTGGATGATCTCCTCTACCTTGCTACCCTGCCCCTTCTGTTCACCTCCCTCCTCTAATTCTGTCTTTATTTTGTCCATTTTCTGAGCCATGACCTTGACCCGATTTTCTCTCTCAGCAGCAAGGTCTTCAGCCTCCTTCTTCTCTTTCTCCAGGGTTTGCATCAAGGCAGACAACTCCTGTTTTCCCTCTGATAACTTTTGTATCTGCTCCTCAAACTCTGCCTGACTCTTCATCTGGTGTTGTTTCATTGCTTTCAGTTTCTGCATCACTATATCCCTGGCATCAGACAGCACAGTTTCCTGTTCCTTTAATTTCTACAAAATAAGGCAATTTATAAATGAATTGTGCATGTATGCAGTTAGTTATCACTGAAATATATCTTTGGTGGTACAGTACAATTTGTTTTTTATCATACCAGTTTTATATCATACTTCTTTTTTTATCATAGATATTTGAAACACAAAACCATTTCTTAATAATTCAATGTAAATTCCTCCTCTTATTATCATAGGTAAAAGTGTACACTCCGTTTACTATAATAGAAAATTTTCGTATGTAATATTTTTTTCACACCTTTTCACCCTTGGGACACTCAACAAAACAAAAGATCACACCTATTCACACCGGCAGGTCATGTCAGAGACCTAACCATCATTGTCTATAAACAGTGGCTTGAATTTCACTTTGAAATTTACCGACAGTGGAGGACTGGGATGATTAGTCACGCACCTGTGCACTTACCTGAGCGATTGACAAGTTACTTGTCTATTTCTTACTGTACACAAGTTCAGGGTGCAGTTACAGTTTCTATTTAAAACCATTTGCATATGTATTTTTCTTCAATTTGAACATTGATAATAAACGTATTTTACAAAAATGTTCGAAATGAACCTATACAAACGTACATTTATTAACTCAGTCCTCTGATCGCTTGGTTTCTGAATTATTCTTCATATTTGTCTGCAATCATTAAATTGAGAGATTACTTAAGAAGTTGTGAAGTCGATTTGATTCTTACAAGCGGCTTTGAATTTTTATCAGTGTCAATTTTTTTTTAATTACTCGGCGACATCAAGTGTAATCGTGGCAAACCGCTTGGTGCAAATGTGTTTTGTTTAAGCTATAATGACGGCATTTCTTAGTTTTCCGTAATTCTGTTTTTTCATTTCTATGTATAATTCTCTCGTTTTGATTGTATTCAATTTTTTGGTATTATTTTATTTGAAGGGCGACGTAATAAAACGAAATGTCGGTTGTATGAATTGATCAGAGTTAAAAACGAAAGTAGAAAGGTGGATGCTAAGTGACATAAAACTTTGAATTTGAATAGTGTTTAACAATATTTAAGTGAATTTTTTGATTTATTTATTGAAAAATGTCTTGAAACAGTAAGTAAATATGATGATAGTTAATTATCTTGTCATTTAAAGAAGCCTGAAAAGCAAAAACGAAATTAACATAAGATGTGATAAAGAAGACAGGCATACGTGATGTTTCATCATATGTTTTTTTTTTGTTTTTTTGAATTTTAACAGACCATGGTTATTATAATAGTCGCTTATTATAAAGTTTTGGCCTGACAAATAAACTATGATAATAAACGAATTGCACTGTATCAATTTACATTCATTTTTAGTCTTTTTTCCCCATTATTTCCTTGTTGGGTTTTGTAACATGTGTCTTTGTTTTTTATTAATTGCATGAATATTCATTTCCACATACAGCTGGCTCAGTGTTTAGAGCAAAATTTGTATCATGGAACTTAGAATTTCATTCTTTGTCCTGATAGTTTATGTGTTCTCATTTTGGTTATTTTTAGGCTTGTGTTTATTTTCTTTCATTTGTTGTATTTACCTTATTTTCTTCTAACAGTTGACTCTGTTCTTGCTGCATGAAGTGTAGAGAGGAATTCATGGTCTCGTCCTTCATCTTCATACACTCCAGCTGTTCTTCAAGTTCCTTAAAAATTAAATGAGGTGTATTTCTAATTTTCTCTATCTCTACATGAATCACATCTTGATGGCGAAACTTATAACCATATGATCACTCTGTTTAAAATAAAGAGTTCGTAATACTAGACATACCTTCTTTTCTCTTTTAGAAACAGACAGTTGTGCCACTAATTCTTCTTTTTCTTTGTTTGCCTCATTAAGCTGTCCCTCCATATCCTAAATAATCAGAGAAAAAATAACTTGTGTAACACTTGCATAATCCAATTGTTATGCATTATGACAAATATTTCACTTTCCGACAGAATCTTTAGTTCTAAAAAACTCTTTGTTTCCAAGACATACTCTAATCCAGATGATTTCTACTCTGGTAAAATTTTACAACCACCAAACCATTGATTTGTGTGTCTCTGTGTACCGGTATATCTAACACTGACCTGTATCTCTACCATTCTGTTGTAGGACTAAAATACCTGTACTTTGTTAGTGTGTTCCATTTTGTTGTAAGTACCTGTAGTTTGTTAGCGGCCAGTTCCTGCGAGGCCTGTACAGCATTGTATGCTGTCAACATCTCCTTCTTCTCCACTTCTAGTTCTTCTATTTTTGTCTTCAAGTTCTAAAACAGACATTTAGTATGGTATTTTGTCTGGCTTATTTATATACATTTACTGATTTGGCAAAACATTTCAATTGAAAGCAAGAACAGTGACAGGTAAACTGGTCCTCACCTTTATATCCTCCTGGTTCCCATCTCCCCCCTCACCCTCACTCAGCTGTCTCTGGGACTCCAGCTCCGTCACCTTCTTGGTCAACTCTGGAAAGTATATACATGTATATACATGTACAGTCATTTAGATGGTTAGAAACACCAGCAACTTGTGTAATCCTTAATACATTGTAATTACATCAGAGTCCCTTATATACATAAAGGTCATTCACAAACTAGTAATCCTTTTTTTTTAATTGTGTGCTGTCATTGACTACATTGACTTGCAAACTAACTCAGAATGAAATATAAAATGAAGTAAATTTTCATTCCTTCATACTCCAGTATGTAATATCAACTCTGTGTATATTAGTGATATAAAGCTATAAATAGTCAAAATAGAGTATAAGTTTACCATCACATTTTGCTCTAGTTTTCTGGAGAAGAAGCATCTGTTTCTTGACAAACTTTGTCAGATCTTCACGTGACAAATTGTCCAGCTGAAAAAACATCATGAAATTTTAAAATGAGACCTAGTCAAAATACTACTTTTATTTGTTATAGCATGTAGTTATAAAAAGGCATTTTGACTGATAAAATAAAAATAAGCATGTAAATTTGGTTTAATAGTTTTGTAAGTAATTTGAGTAAATATAATACAGTAGAAATTAAAAAAAAAAACCTTAATAAGACACTTTAATGATAAAAATAAAATACACTCTGATTGTGATATCTCATCAAGTCCTGTCCCTTTTAAAATAGAAAATCTTCCTGATCATGTACCTTGCTAGATTTAAATCAGTTATAATCAATTAATTAAATTCAATTTCTGACAAAGCCAAGCAAGATTTTTCACTTCTGAATTGAGTGTCAAATAAAATTAACAATATATGATGCTGTAATTCCCATTCCAACATGCAGGTACAAAGAAATTATTATGAAATAAATCACATATTTCTAAGGATTTTACAAAAAATATTAGTTTTATACATTATTTTATACTATAAATAAATCCCATACAATATTAAATAAATTCTTTTCTTGATTTAAAAAAATAATTTTATGTAATTACATCCACAACAGAAAAAAATCTAGGCATGTAGAATATGTAAAGTACCATATACCATAAATTGTATAATGATGAATTCAAATACTATACTTACAGATCCCTGATAAAAACATAATTATAACATTTTATTGTAAATTGTCATTTCTATGACAGATACTTCTGCATAAAGCAATCTGAAGACGATATACAATGTATTGATTAGTTTCTAAGCTTCCAATTCACACTGTAAAAGATTCTCACTGTTTTAATAATTAATGATTTTTCATAAATACAGCTTTTCATGACTACTTAACATCTTAAAAAAAAACTGTGTTTATCAAATTTTGACTCCTTACTAAAATTTCAGATATTAGGCTTGACCTTCAGCCCATATGAGTTCAAAAGATAGTTTTTTTTTTTGTTAAACTGAGATAACAGCCAGTATATATCTACATTAAATGGGAATCCATGCAACTAAATCATCATGGATCCTACCATCTAATTTGACATGTTAAAAAGCCCTCTTATAATCTATGAATATAACCATGATAACTTGTTCGTATACTTTTTTGGATTAAGAGATCTGACAGTTGAGAAAAATTATACCCCTCCCCACCCCCAGCTGTAGCCTTTTTGCAACTTTTTGGTCAGAATCGGTTTTCATCTCTCATTAAAAAAAGTTCCTTAAATGTCATATTGCCTCAAGGAGTTGATATGCATACATTTGTATGACATGTCATCAAATTTACCTGTAATTCATAGAGATACATGTATATCATACATGTATTAAGGTCAGGTACTTTGTAATACAGAGAAAAAGTACATAAGGTTTTCTGATTGACTTCTGGTTGACCTGCATGAGGAAGTAACTTGAGCAATGAATTCATTTTTTTTTTCTATATGCAATAAAGATTACTACCTTTGATGATGCTGGACTTTTTGCCACACCCTCTGTGTCAGTGGACCCCCCACTTGGAGGATGATCCTGACAAAATAAGTAACACAATACACATACAATTTATGCACATAATTTAAATTAAGACCAAGATCAAACAAATTTTGGATCATACATCTTCCTCTTATATATATATATATATATATATATATATATATATATATATATATATATATATATATATATATCTGTCTGCATTACTTTTTTTCTTCTTCTGTGTGCAAGTCATCTGGTTAATGGTTATACATACTACTTGGTAGGTAAATTATTGTGTTATTTCCTGTTGCACCCTAGGGTTATTTAGTTGACAAATAAAACAAATGGATTGAAAAGAGACTTAAACACAGTTCGCTCCATTATTTTCTCTCCTGGTATTGATTTTATGATACTGTAAGGTTTTAGAAATATTGACACTTAGCCTAGATTTCTTTAAAATTACGAGCAGCTAGATTGAGATCACTTGGTTAAGTGTGTGCATAGACCTTCTGTGGCCTTCAGAACACGTTGGTCAATGATACACGAGGCGTACGCTGAGTATTTATCTCTGTGCCTACCAGCCAACGTATCTAAATCTTGATCAGTTGTTGATTGTGTTCATTGCATTAATGACATGCCTGTATCTAATACTTACCGCCATTTTTCTCTCAAATATTTACTGTTTTCAATAGACGTTTTACATCTTACACTAAAACATGTAGAAAAACTGAACTGGGTTCTGTCTTGTTGTCATTTCGTACGTGAGCGGAAGTGCATGTCACATAAATCAGCAGCTGCGCACATTGACTTCCGGATTGACAGAGACTGACATATGCCCTCGATTTTACATTTCTTAATTCTTTTAAGTGTTTATTTTCAACAGGGTACGAAAATAATTGCACAAATGCGTATTATCAGGTAAAATGTTACTGCAGTCGGCAGCACAGGAGAGAAATGTGTTAGTTCTGATCAGATCACATATGCCCCACCCAGCTGTGCAGACCTATGTTTATAATATTGTAATTCATTATAATGAATGCAGAGAGATAAATAACATAAATGTGTTATTTTTGTCTCTGGCTAATGCTTATATGCGACATGTATTACTTTTTAAATGTTGTCATACATGATGTTAATGTTAGTCTAGGAACTTGCACTCAATTAAGTGTCTTTCATGCAGCTTTTAAATGTCCATATATATATGTAGTAGGGAAAGGAGGAATGAGTTAATATACATTGAAAATTTATAAATATATATATAATGAAAAACATGTGGCTGGACCGGGAATCGAACCTGGGACCCCTGCATTACTAGTCAGGTGCTCTAACCACTGAGCTATCCAGGCCGATGTCCTCAGTCCAGCCTAAATTCCTACATTCCTCCCTCCTTAAATAGTCTTCGCCCCCGAAGACACAACACAAGTTCACCTTGTCAGGACTTAACATTAATTATATATTATTTATTATATTGCCTGAACAAGGTAGGCCACGGCACCATCTGTAGTAGGGAAAGGAGGAATGAGTTAATATACATTGAAAATTCATAAATATATATATAATGAAAAACATGTGGCTGGACTGGGAATCGAACCCGGGACCCCTGCATTACTAGTCAGGTGCTCTAACCACTGAGCTATCCAGGCCGATGTCCTCAGTCCAGCCTAAATTCCTACATATATATTAATTCCGAAGTACTATATATGCCAGTTAACCTCAGATTAATATATAATCAAGCTAAAAAATGTAATGAGAAGAAATGATCTCGAAAATAATATACGTGTATATAAAATTAAGCATGCAGACCACTGTTTTGAACCCAGGACCCTGTGCACAGGTGCTCTGATACCAACCAAGCTATGTGGCAACTGGTGATTTAACTTGCTTGAGCGCCATATTCCTCATGCACCACTAAAATGTCTTGCCCCCAAAGACACATAACCCAGATTTTTTGCCTCTGGCAGAACTTTCGCCTGCAAGTCCAGGAGTAGTCAACAGGAGCAAATTTGACAGGAAGGGAGAAAATTGTGATGGCTTCAAGCTCAGGCCCTTTGATGATCTCTAAACACTTAACAGGTGCTCTAATAAATGAGTAACTTCTTAACACTTGCTTGACTGCCAAAGAAAAACTGAGTAACTCCTCGAAGCAATAATATTATATATCTTGACAAAATGTGTTTTTTTTCAACCCCTAGGTACATGTAGCTCAAACCAAACTGTTTGCATAACATACAGCATCAGGGAAACAGTTTAGTTCTTGGTTCCGATAAAACGTATGTTGCCCTTGAACCCACTCAATAATGTATACTGTCACTGAATGTCTGAAGTTTATGAGGAAAAATACAGTGTTCTGTGAAATGTAAATGTACAATAAAGATGATTATTAATAACATTTGATCTGTTGTTTCAAGTTTACAATAAAAATATAATGTGGCAGTCAGACAGGTTCGATTGCTGCTGGCCAGATAGCTGTTAGTAGAGCACCTGACTGGAGATTCAGGGGGCACGGGATAGAATCCCTGTGTGGTCTGTTGCATTTTTCTCCTCTCCGTTACAATTGGTGCCGTGCCATGCCCTGAAAGTGACAGGTGAAAGACCTGCCAGGGAAGAGCCTAGGTTGGTGTCTTTGAGGGCTGAAGACCTTTAAGGAGGGAGGAATGTGGCGGTCAGACGGGTTCGATCGCTGGTGGCCAGATAGCTCAGTTGGTAGAGCACCTGACTGGAGATTCAGGGGGCCTGGGTTCAAATACCGGTCTGGTCTGTCGCATTTTTCTCCTCTCCTGTTACAATACACGTAACTATTGTGGTCATTATTGAATTCAATAACTTGAAAAGTCACAGTTCATCATGCTGTAAATTAATAAATGTAAATATTTTAATATGCACAATTGAGGATGCTTGTTGAAAATGAATATTATTCCAATAGTGTGACATATGATTCAAACTTTTGTGCAAATGTTTTTTAGGTGGGGTCTCCTAACATACGAAAATATTCTGAGGGAGTGAACATGGACAAATTTACAGAAGAGTTGAATGTTGATTCTGAAGATCATTCTACAAGTGAACCTTCTGAAAACCAACAGTTGCAGAAGAAAAAACAAGAAAATCCTTGTAGTATTAAAGGAAAAAACATTGAAATTCCTGAGACACGGAAATCCCGACGAAAGAGCCAGCCAAGGCGGATAGTCGTAGAAGAGGTGGATAACCACTGTGATTTGTGTGGAGAAGACTTCAGCAATAGTTCAGCTTACATTCTCCACATCAGAAAATGTCAGGACAACAGTACATTCTCCTTGAGAGAATCTCGAGCAAAAAAGAAGATCAAAGATGATTCATTCCATGAAGATGAAAGTCCATCTGGTCAGACCAAGAAATGTGGAGGAAAAGTGACGTGTGATCATTGTTATGAGAAATTCTGGCAGAGCGAGTTGAAGGATCACATACAAGATGTTCACGGAATCTCCGACATGTACACTTGTTGTCATTGCGAGGCAACATATGATTCTAGGCGGAGTTATGCCTCTCATATGAGATATGCACATGATGATAAAAAGGCCTTTAAATGTTCCTCCTGCAGTAACTCGTATGAATTGTATGAATCCTTAAAGAGACATAATCGCATTCACAACAAGGATCTGGCTCTAACGTGTGATGAATGTGGAAAGTCTTTTGCTGAGAAAATCACACTAAAGAGACATAAAACAATTCACACTGGTATTGTCAAATGAATTTTTAAGATATCAATTTTTAATTTTCTGACTTTTTTGTGTAAATTAAGTCAGTACATTATTTGCTTACTCCTTAAATGAATTATTTATGCATAGGGTAAATGCCTGCCTTCATATTGTTCAAACAGGGTTGCAAATGACAATTAAAACCTAAGGGGCCATGTGGGCCCCCAAGTTTACAAGTTTTATTAGCCCATGTTGATATTTTGAGGCCCACAATTTTCTCTTTACTTTGTAAGAAATTCTCAATCTTTTTGTATTTTAATTTCTGAGAAGAAAACTTTGCTGTCCATAGTCTCTCATTTCCCCAATTACCGAGAAACCATGAATGGATGAAATTACCCGGTACATGAAATTTTGTGTTTTCCTTCATTTTGAAGACCTCTAGTTATTAATAAAGCAATTTGGGGTCTAGAGAACAGTGATTTTGTAGGTAGGAAAGAGTGAAATGAAAATGCATTTAGTTGTAGAATGAAAGCATGGTCAGGTTCTGGAAAAGTTGTGCTAAAATTCTTTCTTGCCATGAGGGCAATTACCTCTTCAACAGTTGGTTGCCCACAGACAAAATTACTGGCATTTGCTAGTGGGCGAGTGTTTAAATATTTGCAACCCCACCAAATACTTTTATTCTCTGGAGAATTGGATGCTTTGATATTGATGGAGCATTTTCAGAATTTTGAATTTTGTAGTACACAAAAAAGTTATTAAAAGAAACCAAAAGAAAATTTTTGAAAATTTCCACCATTTTCAGTCTCATAGAAACAAAAGTTTTGATAGAAAACAATTAAAATAGTATCTATCTATTTGATGCACAAATCACTCAAGATTTCAACAATGTACAATATTATAGCTTTCATAAATATTTAGGCCATATTGATTAACTTCATCATTTCTTTTTATAAAGGAGAAAAACCATACTGTTGTAAAGTATGTGGCATGGCTTTCCGTGACCCCAGTACCATGAGAAAACACGTCAAGCGGCACAGCTCAGAGAGGCCATTTGCCTGTGAGACTTGTGGGAAATTGTTTGCCAGTACCTACGATATGAGGAAACATTCCAGGATTCATTTGAATGATGAAGAAAGACCCTACAAGTGTGAGGTATGGATAAGTCTTGTTCTGAAGTGTGTCCATTAGTAATTATTTATAGTACTACTGAAAGCAATATTACGGTAACCGATAATTCCTATAGTCCACTTTCAGTTTTGCATTAGATTTCTAGGGAAACTACACTTTTGATTGTGTTTCCTTTGTAGCCATAGAGAGAGAATATAGATTATGAAAATTATTTTAGGAATATAGTCATATTTCTGTTTGATTATTTATTTGGGAGATAACTCTTGGAAATAAGAGGGAGGTTTGGGCAGGCCACCCCCTGGCCCCCCTAAACTACGTGCCTGCTGGTGAGGACACAGAAGCTCCTGAGTAATTACAAAATATTTCATCATTTTCTTGCAAAATAAAAATTATCCCATTTAGCTTTTGTTTAGAAAATACAAGACATAGTAATATTTATTGTTTTAACGCAAAGTTAATACTTCCATGGAAACTTATTGTACATTTAGTTTAGGCTAAATATTTAACTGATATATTGGTATCATATACTCTTTTTTCAACGTTAAAAAAAAATGTATACTAAATGTTAATTATTATAAAAAAATATCGTATTTTAAATCAAACACTAGTAGATCATAGTATTTAGCAATGTGTTTGAATTTTAATTTCTCAAGAAAGATCTTTTTAAAAAATATCAATGTATTCATTGACAAGAACAATTACAAATTAATGAATGATTTATTGGGATTTTGCAACGAAACAATATGACACATAATAATTCGAAACACGAGTATTAGTTGGATTGTAATGAGAATTTTTCTTCGAAAGTCTCTCTCTTTCTCTCTCTCCTAGTTGTTTGGTTGTTTTTTGTTTTTAAAAAATGATGTGTACGCACTTGCGTATAGGCAGCTACGCACCTGGATATGATGCTTGCTATAAAGGCTAATGTTTTGTTTGTGGATATTTTCATTCCTTTATATACCAGACTGTGATACTCTGATTTCAGGTCTGTGGAAAGGCTTTTTACTTGATTGCTGCCATGAAAACTCACCTTAGAACTCATTCAGGTGAGAGAATCTTCAAATGTGACATGTGTGACAGGGCTTTTTGTGACTCTAGAAATCTATGGGCTCACAAGAAAATTCACACCAATGAACGTGACCACCAGTGTGCTGTATGTGGAGTGGCCTTTAGGTGGAGCTGTAATCTAGTACGACACATGAAAACGGTGCACGAAGGGGTGAAAGAATTTGTATGTAGTGTGTGTGGTAAGGCATTCGGACAAAAAGGAGCTTTGACAGTGCACCTCCGAATTCATAGTGGAGAGCGTCCATTTTCTTGTCAGGATTGTGGGAAAAGCTTCACAGACAAGAGCTCACTTTATCATCATCTAGAGACTCACCAGAAAATTAAACCATTTCCTTGTCAGGTTTGCGGGAGGAGGTTCGGTCGAGGTTTTGTCCTGAAGCGCCACATGAATCGCCATGTAAAGAAGATGGTATGCCGTGTGATGAACTCCACCACAGAGAATCGCAATGAGATTCTCATCCAGGAGGCGGAGCCTGACCTAAATTTGCTGACAGAAGGGGATAAATTGAGTGATGTAAATGATGATGAGGAAAATGACGAGTATGATGAATTTGTTGGTGATGAAGATGTTGAAGAGGATCATGAACAAAAAGAGTCAGAATCTCAGAATCTGCTGTGAAAAATTGTCATAATATAAAATCTAATGCACATATTCAAGAAAGCAGTGAAAAATCTTTTTATTGAAATACGGCTATAAAGAGCAGATCACTGAAAATTTTTATGTGACAGTTCCATGTATAAGTGTTCATCGTCCTGCCAGGAAGGACTTTTTTTTCAAATTTCATTTCAAGTTACAACCAATGCCATTTGTAGATGGAGAAACAAAATCAATTGTCAATTTCTGTCTCTGTATTAAAATGACAAATAGGGATTTTATAAGCCTAGTACAGTCATGTTAAATAATATTAGACAAAATATGTCTAACACTTTCAAGTCATTCTTCAGATCAACTTGTGAATAATTTTTTACATACATGTAATTAAGTGCTTAAATACTAGACTATTCCTATTGTTATGTTATTCTGTCAAACATGTACCTAGATGTATTCAGTGCAATTGTTATTTAGTTTGTTAACTTGTTAAAGTTTAAACATTTACTTTTTTAAAAGAAGATTTAAGCTTTAAAACCAGAATTTCTTTATTTTATTTTGAATTCCTCTCAATTTGTGACAGGAATATGATATATACCAGGCATTTTATATTACAGATTTTGTTTTCTGAGCAAGTCTAGTTTCCAAAAACTCCATACACCTTTACTGCTCAAAACAAGGAAAGCATACTACCATATCTGCTTCACACGCTTATCTGTCATACGTCCAGTATATGCTACAGATGAGTTACAAGGTTACGTGTGTTTTTAGCTCACCTCAACGAAGTTGGGGGAGCATGTGTAATACCCTTGGCGTCGATGTCCCAGGTTAAAGTTTTTGGTGCAGTTTTCTTTTTAAGTACTTCTGTGCCCTATATTAATCAGAGATGCATGGAAGATGCTTCTAGTATGTTTCATTGTACCAGTCAAGGTTTCAGATGCTGCAATTTCAGCTGAAGAATGACCATGTTTTTGGAGCAGGTTAAAGTTTTTGGAGCAGGTCTCAATTCCAAGTTGACCAAGTAACTATAAGTCCTATATTGACCAAACTTGCATGGATGATAAATCTAAGGATGCACACTACCAGGCTTGCTTCGGATGCTGGATCTGATCTACATTTTACGGATGAGTGATCAGGTTAAAGTTTTAGAGCAGGTCTCATTTCAAGTAACTATAAGTCCTATATTGACCAAACTTGCATGGATGATACATCAAAAGATGCACACTACTGGACTTGCTTCGGATGCTGGATCTGACCTACATTTTCCGGATGAGTGACCAGGTTAAAGTTTTTGGAGCAGGTCTCATTTCCAAGTACCTTTAAGTCCTATATTGACCAAACTTGCATGGTTGATACATCTAAAGATGCACACTACTGGACTTGCTTCGGATGCTGGATCTGACCTACATTTTCCGGGTGAGTGACCAGGTTAAAGTAAACTATAAGGGCTATCTGAACCAAACTTGCATGGATGATGCATCACAGGACGAACACTCTCAAACTTGCTTCAGATGCTGGATATGACTTACATTTTCTGGGTGAGTGACTAGTTTAAAGTTTTTAGGTAAGTCCATTCCCAAGTTACTGCAAGCCCTATTGGACCAAAATTGCATAAATGTTACATCTATATAGGAATGAACACTACTAGATTATTAGTTTGGGACTTTGCCTTATTTAAAGACAACATTTGTTGAGGTGAGCTCTGTAATCTCTGATTACATATGTTTCAGACTAGGTCTATTCCAAGGAATGTTTAGAAAAAAACACACACAAAAGTTTTATAGGCCTTGACCCTCACTGAGTATCACAAGTTTTCTCGGTACAGCCCTAACTGGAATGAAAATTCTGCCTCGTGTCAAAAATTTAGTTTGACAGGGATACTGTAATCATTATTAATGCAGTTTGTTTCCTAGAACATGTCGAAGACTGAGTATGCTGTAAAATAAATTTCATGCAATTATAGCCCCACCTTATGGCCAGTGAAACCTGGATCTAGGAGCCATGAATTTTATAATTTTAGAACAGGGTTAAGTACTCACTGTCAATTTATCGCGGTTGATCCCAAGGAGGGCAAATTTTGGTATATTATTTATTAGATAAAATATATTTTTTAGCATATTTTTTTTCAAAGGACAAACAGTGTATACTAAGCAACTGAGGTCAACCAAAAACATTCTACTCAATAATTTTTAGCTCACCTGTCAGAGCTGAAAGCTCAAGTGAGCTTTTCTGATCAGCTATTGTCCCTAGTCCATCTGTCTAGCTGTCCATTCATCTGTGAACTTTTTACATTTTCAGCTTCTTCTCAAGAACCACTGGGCCAATTTTAACCAAAGTTTGTACAAAGCATCCTTAGGTGAAGGGGATTTTAAATTGTTAAAATGATGGCCCACCCCCCTTATAAGGGGAGATAATCAAGAAAAGACAAAAATAGGGTGGGGTCATTAAAAAATCTTCTCTAGAACCATTGGGCCAGAAAAGCTGAAACTTATGTGGAAGCATCCTAGGATAGTGTAGATTCTAAATTGTTCATACAATGGCCCCCAAGTTAGGGTGGGGCCACAATAGGGAATGAAAGTTTTACATTGAAATATACATGTATAGGGTAAATCTTCTCAAGAACCACTGAGCCAGAAAAGCTCAAATTGTATGGAAGCATCCTGGGGTAGTATAGATTCTAAATTGTTAAAACCATGACCCCTGGGGGTAGGTTGGGTCACATGGTGGAAGCATTCTGAGGTAGTGTAGATTCTAAATTGTTCAAATCATGGTCTCAGGGGGTAGGGTGGGGCCATAAAAGGGCATCAAAGTTTTTGCATTAAAATATAAGGGAAATAACTTTTGTTCAAATCATGGTCTCAGGGGGTAGGATGGGGCCATAAAATGGAATAAAGGTTTTACATTAAAATATAAGGGAAATAACTTTAAAAATTTTAATTTCAAGAACCACTGGGCCAGAAAAGGTGAAACTTACATGGAAGCTACCTGAGGTAGTGAAGATTTTAAATAAATTCAGATCTTAACCTCTGGGGATAGGGTGGGGCAACAATAGGTAATCAAATTGAAATATAAGGAAAATAACTTTAAAAATCTTACACTCAACAACCACTGGGTAAGAAAAGGTGAAACTTATGTGGAAGCTTCCTGAGGCAGTTAAGATTCTATTGAAATAGTTCAAATCTTGACCCCTGGGGGTAGGGTGGGGCCACAATTAGTATTACAAGGGGGAAATCTGAAAAAAAAAACAGAAGGGCCAAAGTTACTCAGGTGAATGTTGTGGCCCATGGGTCTCGTTTCTTTATTCATATTTGATCAGCAATAATTCTGACATTTTTGTTGCACTCCTGACCAAGAGCATGGGCGTCTTTACAGTAGAATTGTGAAGTATGGTGTTCCGTTGGGGTTAGTTTACACTCCTAGATCCATCATCCATGCAAGTTTGGTCCAGATAGGGCTTATAGTTACATGGGAATGGACCAGCTCCAAAAGTTTTAACCTGATCATTCATCTGGAAAATCTTAGGTTAGATCCAGCATATGCATCTGAAACAAGTGTGGTAGTGTCCATCCCTAGATGCATCATCCATGCAAGTTTGGTCAAGGTAGGACTTATAGTTACTTGGGAATGGACCTGCTCCTAAAACTTTAACCTGGTCACTCATCTGGAAAATCTAGGTTAGATCCAGCATCTGAAGCAAGTGTGGTCGTGTCCATCCCTAGATGCATGTTACATGCAATTTTGGTCAAGGTAGAGCTTATAGTTACTTAATGGGAATGGACCTGCTCCAAAAACTTTAACCTGATCACTCATCAGGAAAATCTAGGCCAGATCCAGTGTCTGAAGCAAGTGTGGTAGTGTCCATCCCTAGATGAATCATCCATGCAAGTTTGGTCCAGGTAGGACTTATAGTTACTTGGGAATGGACCTGCTCCTAAAACTTTAACCTAGTCACTCATCTGGAAAATCTAGGTCAGAACCAGCATCCGAAGCAAGTGTGGTAGTGTCCATCCCTAGATGCATCATCAATGCAAGTTTGGTCTAGGTAGGGCTTATAGTAACTTGGGAATGGACTTGGTCCTAAAACTTAACTGGGACGCCGGTGCCGGGGTTATAGCATAAGCTCATCTTGACTTTGTCGAGGTGAGCTAAAAATCAATGTTTTTTTGGCAACACTGCATTTTTTTTCTTGAATTTCTGAAATGGTATGACATTTTTGTCAACATCAGTCTTGACCACAACTTAACTTGGTCAAACAAAAGTTGCTACAGACTACGTTTAAAGCTCAATATACTTTGAATATTATCAGGAAAGTATTTTCAACATAAACCATTATTATTTATTACATTTTCAACAGTGAAATACTGTAATTTGTTTACTGAATAAAAGTGATATTCTGACTCAGTGAGAAAGGATATCAAAATATGGTATTTCTGTGTATATCAGAAGTATATGGCAAAACTTACAATTTTCCTTCCCTTCATGAAGAATGTTTCTTTTAAAAAATCCCTGGTCTATTATAAGATAGAGTTAATGAACCACCCTGACATAGACTAATAGTTATACTGCCAAAGTTTTTCCAAATATGTCTTTAAAAATCCATGTTTACTTTTTCAATCTCGCAATCACTTAGCTATGACGTCTCAACCACTCAACTATGACGTCACAGCCCATGACACTGAGTAAAGAAAAGACAGAGGCAAAGGGAAAATCTCAGAAAATGTAATAAACAGAAAATTCAATGTTTTGTAGATGAATATGGAATTTATTTCACTAGTGAGACAGGATTTTTTGATACTTTCACTCGTGCTTTGCACTCGTGAAAATATCAAAAAATCCTGTTCCACCTGTGAAATAAATTCCATATTCTTCAACAAAACATTGAATATTCTCTATTTATTACATTTTCAACAGTGAAATACTGTGATTTATTCATTGAATAAAAGTGATATTCTCTCACAGTGTGAAAGGATACCAAAGTGATATTCTCTCACAGTGTGAAAGGATATCAAAGAAAGTAGAAATGATTTCTGGTCTGTCATAAGATAGAAATAGTAACTAAACCATCTTAATAGAGACTAAAACTGTAAATTTTCTCCCAAATGTATTGTTAAAAACAATTTTACAATGTTTTCAATCTCACAATTCCTAAGCTATGACGTCACAGCCTACAACACTGTGTTATTAGAAAAGACAGAGGCAAAGAAAAATGAAAGAAAATGTAATAAACAGAAAATTCAATGTTTTGTAGTTGGATATGAAATTTATTTCACTCGTGAGACAGGATTTTTTGATATTTTCACTCGTGCTTCGCACTCGTGAAAATATCAAAAAATCCTGTCCCACTTGTGAAATATATTCCATATCCAACAACAAAACATTGAATATCCTCTATTTATTTCACAGATCTTCCAAAAAAAAAATATTGAATTTACAAAATGTCACGAAAAGTTGTTGCATT